ACGGGAAATAAAAAAGGCTTTTCACAATTTACGAAGAAAAAAAAGACGTGTTTACAGTGTTAACAAATGGAACATTGAATGGTCCGAAGAGCTCTCCGACTCAAATTCTCCGCCATTGCTGGCTGTGTGAAGAGACGCATGCGCATATTACCCTCGTAATGCTCTTCATTCGGTTAGAGGGCCTTTTACGTCTTGACATTCAATTTTGTAGTGAATTGTGTCATCTAGTCGTTTTACAGTTTCTAAAATGTAATTTCCCTGGATTATTCTTTACGATTTTTTTATTTAGATGTGAATTTTTGTACGTACGAGAAAAATGACACATTTTTACAGTGTACGAAAAAAATATTTGATTGATTACGTTGTACGTCCAGCCTGTGATTACAGAATTACGGAATTTATTTTTTCTATTTACGTTGTACGAACAAAAAAATATTGCAATTACGTTGAACAAAAATAACCCTTGCCCCCCTCGATACACCTCCCCGGGATACACCTTCACACCATTGTACTCAAGAGCATACCTACTTTCTTGTGTTTGATAACGTTTTCTGTGACTGACTTATATTGCATTTGCTGAATTGTCGTCACGTGTTTTCCATGAAATAGATTATATTATAGTAACCATGAATATTTGTAAACGCGTAATCCTTTGGATTGAGGTGTAAAATGTCGCTTGCAACAGAGACTGCTTCCTGTTTCCTCAAACACGCCACCAACTTTGAATGGTCAAGAAAACAAACTTGTGTATTGCCACAGTCACGATAGAAAAACTGTAACTTTCCATAACAACACTTGGTAAAATTGGAAGTGGGGTTACGCGTGGATTTAGAAAACCATAACAACTCAGCTGATGAAATTGTCTAAAAAACACGAATCATGTTTCCATATATATTTCACATACATGCTACATGATGAGACACATCCGATAAAAGTTCACAGTAAAAAAATACGAAAAAGTCACAGTGGAAGTAAATATTATTTACTTTGAGGTTTGTGCTGATTGAAATAACCTCATGTATAATAATAATGCGCGTCGGTCGGTACTCCCGTTGTATTCAGGCTGTCTTCGTGCATACTTTGAGGTATCCTCGTAATAAACTCATAGTATGTTATAACACACACAGAGAAATAGTTGTTGATGTGGGTAAATAAAACAATAATCACTTCTGTCGACGCAACAAACCCATTCTCTTGATTGTTTGGCAATATTTATAAATTTAACAATAAAAACTGAAACGAGAGGTTTCTACAATTCACACAAAATGCAATCGAGGCAACGGGATATAATAAAGTGAACGGCAGAAACTTTAGACGTTTTAGAAACACGATTAATATTAACGAGTTAGCTCAACATCACCTAATAAACTTGAAGAAATAATTCATTTTGAAGGAGAGGGCGGTCGCAGCTCAGTGGCGGCGGTACAGGGGGGGGGGGCAGAGGGAGCGGTCGCAGTTGTTGTTTCACGGAATGCATGAGCGCATTATAGACATGGACAAAGTCTGAATAAGTTACAAACACAGTCCAAACTAAGGTACAGTAAGGACTCTAGGCTGTCTACGCCAATAATGCGCGTATACGCCTCGTGTGAAATCTTAGCAACTGTGATCGCCTACATATTCAAAATGGGGCGCTTGCTAATTTAATAATTTAGAAATTGAAAGAGGCGGACAACAACGACCAAAAATCCCTGCGGATGAGCGATTTTGTAAAAAATGTAATACAAATTCAGTTGAGGACGAACAACATTTTATCCTAGATTGTGAATTTCTCAATAAAGAAAGAGGGGAGCTGTTTCAAGAAATATGAATTAAAAATAAACTAAATAAAACAGACAATTTCATTAAAATAATGACGTGCTTCATACCCCTGGCAAAGTTTCTAAATAAGGCAAAACAGAAATCAGGTATATGAAAGCTATCACCTCTACATTGGGAGAATCCTGTAAGAATCCTGTAACTATCCTTAATTTGTCTTTCCTATTAAGTTTTTAACATCTTTTATTTTTTTATTTTATTTTATTTTATCTTATAAGTCTAGCTACTGTATTTTTTCTTATGATTTGTATTTTATTTACCATACTGCGCCCTCTGATGGCATAGTAGTGTAATAAAGTTATTATTATTATTTGGATAATATTAATTAGAAGGGGATTTTTTAAAAATGTGTATTTATGAAACGACCACAACAATATGCCCTTCACTGTAAAATTAATATTAAATTTCCAGTTTTAGATAACTTATTCAAACAATAATCATGAATCT